TTTTTTTTGCTATCTGGTTTGTTAAAGGCTAACTTTTTATTGTCTAAGTATTAATTTTCAGAATCATTCATCATTTTGCCATTCCTACAGTAGCTTGACTCGCATTCTAGTGCATAATTTAAAGACGAAAATTATACTGGTTTTATGACACTTGGCAAATTCGTTCTAGCTTAGATTAATTGATCTCCATACAATGACCCTTTAAAGTGCTTTTATGAATCCATAAATATTGATCACATTTTCAGAAGTTTCATATTCTCAATTCATTTTCTGCACTGCTCTAAATAAATTAAAACCATATTTTTTTTTGTAGAAGTACCTCTTATGTCAAATGGATGTTTCAGGTTAAAGATGCTTTAGTCCAGTTCGAAATGGCACTTAGTTTAGATCCAAACCCTGTGGAAGCCCAAGCTGCTCTCTATAACAAAGCCTGTTGTCACGCCTACATGTAAAGATTTCTGATGCTTTTAGTAATTACAATTTCAAATTACCATGCATGATTCTAGAAATGCATATTTTCTTTAGGGGAGAAGAGGATTACCAAACATAATTGTTACGACCCCAAGTTAAGGATTTCCCAGTCATGTCAAATAAAAGGGTTCAGCATGTCTACTAATTCAAGTCTTTCCAAAATGGGATCAAGAAACAATTTGGGTTTGACTAAAAGACCACCATTCAATCGGACCAATCCAGATGCTACCTTAACTTCTGTAAAGTATAGCTTAGTATTCAAAACCACACCTTTATCTCTCAGCCAAAGTCTCTGGATTCTTGTTTTATGAAATCTGAAGGTTATGGAAATCTAGTTTGAGGCACATATATGGATTTGTTATATACTCTTCTGCATTAACCTCAGATAACGTTTTAATACTAAATTGGGATGTTCTTAGTATTAATCTTTTGTTTTTATTGAGGAAGAGGGGAAGCAAAGAAAGCCGCTGATTGTCTCCGTACTGCTTTGAGAGACTACAACCTCAAGTTTGGTACAATTCTCAATGATCCTGATCTTGCCTTCCTTAGAGCATCGCCTGAGTTCAAGGAATTGCAAGAAGAGGTCTGTTGCTTAAGTTTTCTTCCAGACACTCCTATTTTCCAATCCCCACCAAGATATCCCAACTGCACAGCTATGGAATCACATGAAAGTAATTCATTCGGATGCGGATCAAATTAATAAAACATCGGTATTGCTCATAACTATTTGTTATCTTTCCAGGCCAGGTTGGGTGGAGAAGATATAGGCTACAGCTTTCGAAGAGATCTCAAACATATCAGTGAAGTCCAGGCCCCATTTCGAGGCATTAGGAGATTCTTTTATGTGGCATTCTCTGCAGCTGCTGGAATTTCGCTGTTCTTCACTGTACCCAGGCTAATTCGTGCTATTAAAGGTGGTGATGGTGCTCCTGATGTTTGGGAAACTGTTGGCAATGCCAGCATAAATGTTGGAGGTAAATTGAGAGATGAGTATGTTAGGATATATATACACACATGCCATTTTAGGAGTTAATCTCTTTTGTTTTCTTTTTCATGTTTGACTTTGTTCGTATGACCATCAAGCTAATAGTTTGTAACTGCCTTTTTAAAATGACTAAGTTCTTCAACCAGCTATCTGCAGGTATCATTGTTCTTGTGGCATTATTTTTCTGGGACAATAAGAAGGAGGAAGAGCAACTTGAACAAATTTCCCGAAATGAAACTCTCTCTAGGTTGCCTTTACGCCTTTCCACCAATAGGATCGTTGAACTTGTGCAGCTACGAGACACTGTTTGGCCAGTTAGTGTTAAATTTTCCCCTTTTCATTTGAATATTTCTTCCAAGATATTGCTGCTTCATGCTTGCAAATTTTAGATAGATCATTGCAAATGATATGCCTGCATTATCGCTCCAAAACTATCATATTAAAAAATAATGTTTCTGACCATAAGCAATTTTTTTTGGCCATGGCCATAAGCAAATTAAGATTTGAAAACCTTCATCTCATTTCATCTAAAGATAAAATTAGATCCCTTGTACTGGATCTGGTAAACATACTTGACACATTTTCAAAGTAATCAAAGTATTAAAATTTAAGCTTCTGGTTTATAAAAGAAATGGCACACCTATCTGTTGTAGTTTTCTGTGTTTCTTTAATGTTGGTTAATTGTTCTGTGGATACTCTTGTGTCGAGAACAACCATAACTATTCTCAGTTCTGTTTCCATTTCCACATTATTTAGTTAATGCTGTTGCTTGGACTGGTGATTGAGACAAAGAAGAGAAGTCGGAAGGCAAAATTGAGACCTATGCCTTTAGATCAAAAGTCGTTTACACTTACTATAGAAGGTTTCATTAGTTTTGACTACTCGAGTATTTATACATCTTAGTGCACTGTCATTTGTCTTATTTGATCATCAAAATGTATTTAAAGTACAAATTTAACTTGTGTATTGCTGTCTTGCATGTTGATGTGATTTTTATGTTTTCTGCTATCTATTTGGTTTTTCTCATTACATTCTAATTGAAGATTGGATTCAGGTTATATTAGCAGGGAAAAAAGAATCTGTATCTTCAGCTATACAAAAGGCTGAGAGATTTCGAACTGAGCTCCTCAAACGAGGTGTTCTTCTAGTTCCTGTTATTTGGGGTGAAGGTAGAGCACCGCAAGTGGAGAAGAAAGGTTTTGGTGTATCTGTAAAGGCAGCTGCTGCTGCTCTTCCTTCTATTGGGGTAAACTACAAGTTTTTAACCTATTGTAGATTAGTTATTACGACTTCTTAGAAGTTAACTTTGTGGCGTATATGTGATGTACTATGCATGTGACTGTCTTTATGCTCCGGTGTAATGATTAATGCATGCACTAGGTGTGGTTTTTGATTAAATTCTTCTCCATTTTAATCTCTTGCTGTCATGGTAGGAAGACTTTGAGAAACGAGCTGAGTCTATAACCGCAAAATCAAAGTTGAAAGCTGAAATTCGATTTAGAGCTGAGGTTGTAGCCGGAAGAATGGGAGAGGTCACCTGCTACTCTAGATTTATTATTGTTTATTCTTTTTCATTTGTAATGTAAGAAAGGTTCTATGATGTATTCCTTCAGCTCACAAAAGTTTGACTGTTTCCGAACATTGATTACATTTCCAATTACCAGTGATATGCTCAAATCTTCCTTCGGCATCTTTTCTTCTGTAAGCCCTTTTATATACATATATTTTCCATATATTTTCTTTGAAGATTTTTACTTGCTCAGGTGGATCAGGGATCAACAAGAGGCTGAAGGAGTTACTCCTGGTGAGGATGTGTACATAATTCTGCGCCTAGATGGTCTAGTTCGAAGATCAGGAAAAGTAAGAAAAATGCTGGATTGCTGCCATAAGCTGGTGCTTTATATGTTAAATGAATCAATTTTGTAAACCTCTTTTCTTGTTTGCAGGGAATGCCTGATTGGTCAAATAGTGCAGGAGCTGCCACCAATGGAAGCATTGCTGAGCAAACTTGAAAGATAGAATCTCATGTTACCAACCCTATTTTAGTGTGCTTCAAACCGAGACCAGACAGGACAGATTTCTACAGTGGATGCGAGTCTTTCTTGTTTATAAGACTATTCCTGCATTAGACAACCTGTTGTCTTTCCATGGTATTTCTACACAACAGGATATTCTACATCCATACTTTAAGCAATGTGTATTTATTGCTTTGTAAATTAGAGATTGGGATAAAGAAGCACGTGTCTTATTCTTTTTAGTTGTTTCCAATAATCCTTTAGTCATCCACCGATCATCGAAAGTGTGAAACGTTATTACAGCCTTTGAAAATTGCAGACCCAACACCATGATAAAAAAATTTGCTTTTGCAAATAAATAAATAAATAAAAATAACATTGCAGAAGAAATTGGTGTTTCAAAATGGCTGGCCCTAAGCTGTCTATAACTCTTACTGCCTACCTGTAAGGCTGGAACTCAGAAACTCATCAAAATTGATAAGAGAAAGCCAGGATGTTCAACTGGTTATGTTGTGTTTGTTTGTTTGTTTTTCATTAAAAATCTTGTTTCTGAGTTTTCACGTTACCATTTCTGTCATTCTTTTCTTGTATTAGGTTTAGAAGAGGTCATCCATTTACAGCTAAAACAAAGATTTCCAGGAAGTTTCCAAATAGTCATCGAGTCGAGTTTGACATTTTCACAAGAGCCTTTGAACATATCAGCTATACATATCACTGAAAAAATATTTCCTTTTTCTTCCATTGTTGGGTTAGGTTGTACTTTTATTATTATTCTATTTGTTCTTTTATTAGTCAATGGATTAGGACAGCCAAACTATTGCAAGTTGTTCGACGAACAAGGACTGTTAAGTTTCAACCAATCAGATTCTATGTATCTCTGGGTGGTCAACCATTTTGCCTCCTCGGTACGTCTTACTGTTCATGTTCGAAGTTTATAGCTGTTTATTCAGATAATATCATCTTTAAAGTTCGAATATTAATTTTTTTTTCCTCCTTGCAGTGTTGGGTGTGCTTAGATGTTAAACTATCATTATCTCCACATGTGAAAAAGTACAATGGCTCCATGAAATCTGTCTAAATGTTTTAATTTTAATTAATTCTCTAAACCATAACAATGAAAAGAACAAACATATAATCTTCGATTTCAGCTTGTTGGTAGAGTGCAAGATTCTTAATCTTGTGGTCGTGGGATTGAGTCTCATGGTGGTCAATTCATAATTCTGACTGCCGCCACGGAAGTCAGCCTACTACCTTATCTCCTCTCACCCCATTACATATAGAAATAGGGTCAGCTAATATATTATTAGATTCCGTATTACTAAATTATGAAGTAACCATATTTTTAAGCTTTCTTCGGATGTTGCCTTCTGGTCTTTTTCTTTTGTTTATGTATTTATTTAGTTTAGTGATTTGCTCTGTCTGTAAATATAAAAGAAACCTAATCACTGGGCCAATGCATTAGTGATTAGTCAATGTCAATTTTCCAACGCTTCTATTTGTAGCATTAAAACCAGTTGCCTCACCCTCTTATTCTTATCCCGACTTCAACAACTGCTTCATAGAACAATAAACTATAGCCAAAACAAAATAAAAACATCAACAACCATAATGGTTAATTCCTCTGGTTTTCTCCTCGCCGTTCCGTTGGTCTTAGTTACTTTTATCTTCGCCTTGTTGAGCGTCGACGCAAATGGTGAGCACCATTTGAGCTGGATTCCGACTGAGTCTAGCTGCAAGGGGTCGATGGCTGAATGCATGGCTGAGGATGAGTTTGAGATGGACTCGGGGATTAACAGGCGCATATTGCAGACCACACAGTACATTAGCTATGGAGCTCTGCAGAGGAACACAGTGCCATGCTCGCGAAGGGGTGCATCCTACTATAACTGTCAACCAGGAGCACAAGCCAACCCTTACAATCGAGGCTGCAGTGCCATTACTCGTTGCCGGGGTTAAGGTTTTTCGCCGTCCTTTTTTTCCTTCAGTTTCATTGGTTTCTCTATTTATGTTGGTGGAGAAGCTCCCATGTCATCCTTTGTCCTTTAATTTTGTGTTTGAAATTTTACCTTCAAATTTAAATAAAAAGGAGGAACATATACTCTTCCAACAAGTTTAGAATGATTTTTATGCTATGCGAAATGCGAAAACTCACTACTCATTGTGACAACATATGATTATGTCTGGTTCTGAAGAACTTTCCACGACGGATTTCCAGATGTGAGTTAAGAATGTTGTCTTCATAAAAAATTTCAAGTATTAAAATCTGGGATTGTAGAGCAGAATGTTAACAACAAGCCATCTCATTTCATTAATTCCCTCCATAAATTGACAAATAAAAGTGGGGGAAAGGCCACACTCAGTAATATCCTTGATCTCTCACCAATAGTAATCTCAAACAGAACAACATATTACCAAGTTACAATCATAAACATATCCAACTGTTAAAAACACTTTGGCCAAGTTTTATGCTGAACCTTCCTCTTGCTTCACTTCACCCATTTTTTGGTTTGGCCGGTGTAATGGGGATGTTGAGCCCTCCACTCCCATCTCAGCGTTTAGGAGGCTCTGCTCCAGCTCGTTTATGCGGTTTCCCATTTCATCAAGTGCTTCAGAGTTAAGTAAACGGTAGATGTCCCGCATTTTGCAATAATACTGAGGCAAAAAAAAGCTATTTCCATACTAAGAAACGATCTATTTTTATTTAAAGTATTGCTATAATAGAGCAAAAACCGAAATTGTTTCGAACATGTTCAAATCTGGCCAGCATAACAGTTATTAGATACAGGTCCACATCTCGGTCTCAAAAAGATGTTTAGCCTGATAGCCTATATTTCCCAATAGGCCAATAGATACTAATAGGCAAAAGAAACTAAAAGCACATGTTGCTTTAGGCTCAAGAATGAAAAGGAAAAGGAAAAAATTTGTGTGAACCTATCTTTTACTATTACCTAATCAGTGAAGCAACTCACCAACATTCCATACATTTCGTAGTGAAAACGCTTCAATGAAATTTAAGAACGCGTGAAAAGGATATTCTTTGTGATAATGGGATCTGACATTGTTTGAAACCTAGATTGCTGCAACAAACTATTTGTCAATAACAGGAAAGATTTTCCAACAACAAAGTCCAATTATGAACTCACCATTTGTTGAAGAAGATTTGCTACCTGCAAAAATAATTCAAAGAAAGGTATGTCAATAAACCACAAGAAATAACTGGTTGATTGCATCAAATAGAAACTATAAACCGACTCGGAAATATAAAAAAAAAAGTTTGGAACCTATCAAATGGTGCTATCAGAACAAAAAAACATTAAAAGCAGTTATCATTCACATTGTTACGGAAAGGGTTGATGAACTCACTAAAACAGTCATATCGGCAGTGTTTTGCTTTGAATCTCAGAGTTTTGCCCGTCCTGCAAAAGAGTATACCAGTCAGCACATGCCACACCAGCATTGGTAAAAGACATGATGCAAAAACTTAATCCAAATTCAGAATGTTTAACACAAAGCATGCTGTTGATCAAATTTTCAAATATCTGGAAACTAAAACAAATGGGTTACTGGTTGAAATTGCCTAGGAATTAGGAAAAAATCTCAACAAGGCAGATTGTATGCTATTTGAGTATAAGACTTTGGTCTTAAAACAAGTAAAACCCTACTTAATGTCAGCTAGCATTCACAATAAGCCGAGAAAGTAAAATTCTAGCGCCAACATTGCAAGCACAACCAATTTTAATCCAATTACCAAAATGTAAAGTTATCGCTGCCTTACTTCTTTTAAAGACTGGTAGCCGCGTTCGTTTTTCATCCCGGGCTGCGCCTTTAATTTACCTATATGCCACTCCTTCAACTTTTTATGTCTAGGTTTGTTAAATATTTGTTATATTTACCATGAGGGCCCCTTTTCCCCTATTTTGAAGGATTCGTCTTGACTAATTTAGATTGACTCTGGTCACACACCTGGTTGTGATTGGCGAGTCTACCAGTGGAAATTTTTTACATACACAAATATTCGAACTCGAGACCAGCTTGAACGATATTAAGATACTAACCACTTGAGTCAACCCGTTGATTGTTATCGTTGTTATTGAAAATAGATTTAATAGTATATGAAATCTTTATTAACAAAAATTATATTTACCGTTATCATGTTAATGTGATGATTCATTATATTAATATAATGATATATGATGTTAATATTTTTATCAGCATCTCAATTTTATTTATTTTATCTTCATTAAACTTAATGATGTATATTTCTCATATATAGTTGGGATAATCATATGATATTAGGAATTATTAAAATCGTTTTTATATGCATATGACGAAATCATAGCCGGATATTCATGTTACCCCAAAGGTAGGCTACAAACAAAAATGCACTTAATTGTATGGGTAAATTACAAAATTTTATCATTAAACTTTATTATCTTTTCTATTTTTTCACTGAACTTTAAATTTTTTAATTTAATCATTAAACTTTAGAATTATTCTTATTTTGGTCACTTCATTGTTAAATAGTTAACGATGTTATGACATGACACACAATACAAAAACGACGTCGTTTTGAAAATTTTAATTTCACATCGAAATGACATAATTTTGAATCCATATAAAATCATATTTTATCTTATTTTTTCATTTTCCTTCTTTCCTTCTATTCTCTCCATCACATCTTTTTTCCATCTTTCTAAAATCCAACCACCACTCATTGTGTGCGTGTGTGCATGGTGTATGCGTGTGTGCGCGTGTGTGTGCAAGTTTTTATATTTGGATATAATAATTCATAGACCCGTGAACCACGTAATAAATATATATAATTAAAACAACAATGAAATTATTCCAAGTCAACACAAAGTTAGAGAAAATAACGGTTAAGTGACTAAAAACTTCGATATCTAAAATAAATTTAAAAATTTAAAAATTCAATGAACAAAACACGAGATAGTAAAGTTTTAGTGATGAAATTTATAATTTACCCTAATTATATTCATCATTTACACCTTTCTTTTCTTTTCAAACGTCTAAAGTAACTAGCCTTGTGAATTGCCCTAGTTGTCAAGGGTTGTGGTCAACCATGTATTCTATATATTTAACGAAAGCTCAAACGACTTTATAATTTTAATGCTCTAATTTAAAATTTCTAAAAATAATAATCTTTTTAACGATTAATATAATTTGGTTCGTACTTTTACGCTAAAAATTCTATTAAAACCTTGACCGCAAAAATATTGAATAAAAATGTATTATACGTTATATTTCATGAATATTTAGAAGATTATTTTAACCTTTAAATTTTTATATTTATTTTAATTTTAAATTTTTGCCAAATAAAATTAATTGATGAAAAATAAAAGAAGTTTTAATAAATTATATATATATATATATATATATATATATTACAATTTTATGATTCTTATAATTTATTCAATTTTTAATAATTTAGTTTGTATGATTGAACTTCCAATATTATTAATAATTTAGTTATATATTACATTTTATTAATTATAATATCATTTTGATATGAATATTGATGTAAAAAATGATGTTGTTTTAAGCACTAAACTTTTAGGGTGTACTGATTTTGTCACTGAACTTTTAAACATTTCCATTTTTGAAATTACACTTTTCTACTAGTCGTCGATAGCCAATCAACTCCCATCACCAATTGTCTTTTATTGCAATATTGATACCAAAACGTTCGTATTTCATTGTTTTTCTTCTCCTAAACTTGTTTTTCTACAAAATTCACTTGAAATTGACAAAATTAAACAAAAAAAAAATATAGGGTTTGGAGGCTTTCTTATATTTGCAGGATTTATGGTGTTTGTTAAAAATTCGAACGATGTGAAGCATTATTTCAAAAATACGAATAACATACCTCAAAACTAGTCTTATCATACGATCATTGAATAATACCAAAGTATTAACAAGTCTATATTTTAAATAAAATTTCGTCATTTTAGTGAGTTTTGTGAAAAATCAATTCTAAGAGAAGAAAGAGGAGTGAAATGTTAATGCTTTTGTAGCGATCTTGTCACGAAAGGTGATCGGTGACGGGTGATGATTTGCTGCTGATGACATTCAAAAAGTACAATGCCAAACAAAATTATTTAAAAGTTCAATGACAAAATTGATACATCCTAAAAAATTACTACATAAAATAATATGTTTTGTCCACATCATTACAGTAATAAAAAGTTTAATCTCTACTTTTAATCAAGACATTTAATTTCTCTATTTAATATTCTATGCCCTTTGCCACAATTGTCAAAGAAATTTCGTTAAATTAGAGTATCCGATATTTTATATTAAAAAAAATGTTGTCGTCATCGATAATTTTAAAGAAATAAAAAGTTAAATATAGTTGTAAGATTTCCAATCTGAATAAGAAGTTGCAAGATTCTTCATCATTATTTTAAATAAACAAAATTAATGTCCATAATTTACTTTTCTTATATAGGTTTGGATGATATTGTCAAGCTCGACAAGTACCGATGAATACGTTTAATGATGAGTGTCGTTAAATTAATTTATAAAATATTAAATTATAAAGTATTAAACGTATAATTATAAATTAGTTAAGAATCTAAATGTAATTTAATTAAAATACAATATTTATAAAACATTAGTTTTTAGGATAAACTATACCATTGATCTCCTAACTATTTACCCCTTCTATTTTAACCACTAATTTTTCAATTTTGTCAATCGGGTCACCTAACTATTAAATATTGTCAATCAAGCCACATGCCGTTAAATATTAACCGAGAATATGATGCGGTAGTTAATAAAATTTGTATAACGATACATTTACTCCTCATTACTTACACATTCTATTAAATTGGTCCCAACTTTTATTTAATTCAATAAATTTAATATTCAATCCGATGGTGACATATGTCATTGTGTGATTGTAACTTTTTAATATTTTTTATTTAATAAAATTTTCATCCAATCAAATGGTGCCACATGTCACCAATTGAATGAATGAAAAGTAAATTAAATTATTAATCACGATTGGTGGGATTAGAACATGGGTCGTAAGCAAAAAAAAATTAAGCGTCCTAACCACTAAGTTGAAACACTAAATTTATTTAATATGCAAAACATAATATATATAATTTATAATATAATTAATGGTAATAAATGACCTTATAATGACTCAAACATGAAATAGTTGAATAATATAAAAATAATATATATATATATATATAAATGAATAATATAAAAATATAATATATATATATATAAATAAATATTATAACTGATTAATAAATGAATATGTTTTATTTATATTTTAAATCACATATAATGCTAAAATTAAAATAAAAGTGAATTTAATATGCTGTAATTAAAATGTATCATTTTACATATTTTAAATTAATAAAATGTCTTCATTATCTAATTTTATTGAATTGAAATGTATCATATCTTATATTTTAATGTCGATCGAATTATAATATTATTTAACAACTTTATATTAAAATAGACTAATTCAATAAAATCAAGTTTCCCCTAACATTTTCTTCAAATATATAATGAATAAATAATAAAATATAAAATTCTTACTATAACCAGGTTATAAACAAATCAATGCATAAGTTAAAATGTTTATTACAATAAACCTTCAACTATCAGGAAAATTCTAAGTCAACTAAGCTCTTCGTTATATTTCAATTATAATATGTTAAAATTATTTTTTATTTTTCCATTAAAATGATTTAAAATAAAAATAATACATTCATATATTAACCGGATATAATATTTGTGTGTGTGTATGTATATATCGTATTCCCAATTATTCCATGTTAGAGTTCTTATTAGGTCATTTTACTTTTTTATTGCCATTAACTATATATATTATGTCGTGATAAGTTTGTAATTTAATGTCATATGACTTGATCGATAAAATTTAAATAGTTAGGTGACTCGATTGACAAAACTAAAAAATCGGTGGTTAAAGTAGAAAGGATAAATAATTAGGTGGTCAATGATATAATTTACCTTAAAAACTAATATTTTATGAATATTGTATTTTAATTAAATTATATTTAGATTTTTAACTAATTTATAATTATATATTTAGTACTTTATAATTTAACATTTTATAAATTATTTTAAGAGAAAATAACCTCAATGATCGAAAATTCCTTATAATATACGATTTTGACCAACTTTTTTTCGATTTGCCAAAATGACTAACAAAATTGCAATGCGATCTCTAAATCGCAACGCGATCTCTAGTATCGCAAATCAGTTTCCAGATTCGCAAAGCAATTTTGACTATCGCAAAGCGAATATGTAAATAGAAATGTGATTCTGACTATCGTAACGCGATAATACATAATCGCAACGCGATTCTGACTATCGCGTTGCGATAATACAAAATCGTAATGTGATTTTCAAAGCGCCATTAGTATCGCAACGCGTATTTTATTTTCAAATTCCAAACACTAATATTAATACATCCTGTAGTCACAACTCTTAACCTAAAACCCTAAATCACAACTCAGTCTCATCTCTATTTTCACTCTCTACGACGACATCCATCCCCATCTCCGACGAAATCCGTCCCCATCTCCGGCGAAATCTGTCTATCTCCATCTCTCAGAGCCACCCTCACAATCATTCACGATCAGAAATGGAAAATCAACCAAATCAACCACCAATGGATAGTTTTTTTAATTATTTTTATTTTGAAATTTTTGTATTATTATTATGTTTTTCATATTGAAATTGATCATAAGTTTACTGGTAATTTCAATAATAGATTAATCATTTCACTTAGATTGCTTATTAAATTAATTTGATTGCTGCCAATACTGCTAAACTGTTTAGTCTTTAACCCTGTAAAGTTAGTATTTGTCTTTGTTTTGTCTTTTGGTTGAAGTAATGCAATTCATTTAAGTTTCAAATTTAGACAACGACTATTTGAAACCGAGGATCACAACGCGAAATGAAAATCGCAACGATAGTCAAATTCGCTTTTAATCTAACTTGAATGAATTGCATTACTTCAACCAAAAAACAAAGACAAATACGAAATTCACAGTGTTGCAAATTTAAGTTTGAAGAATAAACTACTACTACTCTTTATGTTTATTATTGTTTTTGGTATATCTTCACAGTGTAGTTTTTAATCTAACTTTGTATGTTTATTGTTTTTGTAGAACTTTTTTTCGGCTCAATTGACCTTAAGGAATAAAATAAGCCTAGTCATTACAATTGTGTCGAAGCTTTCACCTATACAAAGAAAATTATTTGAGGATACTTGCTTCAGACCATGGCTGAAAGTACAACATCCGGGTGGAGATGTTATGTTGACCCATTTGTGGCTTCAGACCATGACTAGCGATTTACCCGAGAGTATAAAACGTGGTAATGAAGAGATATGATTTCATTTTCCACCGGCGTATACGTGTTTTGGGCGGGAGGAGTTTTGCTTAATCACTGGTCTACGCTTCAGACACGATGATGTAGGTCGATACACTAGTCATATTACCCGCCCATCATGGTTATCCCAGGTTTTTCCTGAGCTGTCAATGGAGAAGTCGAATTTACACGTCGACGACTTGACGAAATTATTGAATAAGAAATATGGTTTTACTCGGATGGATGACGTCGATGTTGTCCGAGTATGCCTTTTAGTACTCTTGCATGCCGGCTTTTTAGGCAGAGAGGCCAGACAACCTATTCCTAAGGACCTAATATTATTGGTAGAGGACCTAAATGCATGAAACCTGTTTCCGTGGGGTTCGTATCTATGGAAAGCTACCTGGAATAAGTTGTCGTATGCCTTTGATGACCGCAAAAGTTTGTGTGGCGATAGTTCCAAATACACTTTGTCAGGCTTTATTTGGGCCTTTAAGGTAAGAATTTCTATATAATGTTTCCAAAATTATAATTAATTATTTAACAATTACTAATGTTTGTGTATTATATTATTTTTGTAGATTTGGATATTTGAGGCTTTTCCCGACATGCAGACATATGCATTAAAACTTCAAATGATATTCCTAGAGCTATTTCCTGGAAGAGGAAATGACGACTGTTGATTTGGGAAGAGTTACTACGGTATGCGACAATAAATGATGTAAGTTAACACAAATACTACCATATATAAACAAGTTATTACTAGTACACGTTTAACTTTGTTTGAGCTTTTATATTGTTAGGAGGTCAACACTCCATTACAGAGGCTGACACCCACGGAGGCTGACACCCACGGAGGCTGAGCTTGCCACTAAAAATCGCAATGCGAAAGCCAAAATCCCAACGCGAAAGTCAATTCGCGTTGCGATAGTCTAATACGCTTTGCAATTTTCTCGTTGCGATAGTCAAATTCACGTTGCGATTTTTGCGTTGCGATAGTCAAATTCGCGTTGCGATAGCCAAATTCGCGTTGCGATATTCAAATGAATGTGTAATAAGTGATAACAACTGAACAGATCATAGCAATGTTCAAACTCAAGTTACTAATACATGCCTAACTGAAAATGTTAAAAGTTTATACATAAAATACACATAATAGTCAAATTCGCATTGCGATATTCAAATGAATGTGTAATAAGTGATAAGAACTGAACAGATCATAGCAATGTTCAAACTCAAGTTACTAATACATGCCTAACTGAAAATGTTAAAAGTTTACACATAAAATACACATAATACAACGTTTTCATTTAAAAACCACCTAAGTTAATAGTCCCAAAAGGTGAAGCCGGTTGTGATTGGGATTTTGATTTTGATTGCGATTTTGATTACCTTTTTCTTGACACCATATGAGCTTTGGATTTTGATGATGATCCATATTTTGGTAGAGGAAAAGATGATTGTGATGGCACTGGTGATCCACATGTCAACCTTGTATGACCACTTTCCTTGCACCGACTACATGTCGATCTCTTCTTCTCTTCACCCTTAGACGGTATACGATCGTGACTTTTTGGTCGGCCAGGTAGCCTTTTATCCATGGGTGGTGGCAAAACTGTTTGTAAGTCATCTGGTATGTCCCACTCAGAAGGATGTGGAATAGGGTAGATAATATCGGTATAAGTCTGTCGATATACTTCTGTAGTGTAGCAATCCATAGCGTATACGCTTGAATCATCTTGGTTTAGATGAAGAGAAACTTTTATAACATGGCCACACGGATAACCAGATGTTTGTCATTTCATACAACTACACGTCTTTGCATTTAGATCGACAAGCTCATTTAAGTTATTATCCAGTACTTCAAACAAAGTGTTTGAACATGGTTCAACTCTCTATGACATTGACTTCACAACACGTTTCGTTATCTTTTTTTCAGTCCGTGGTGTAACACGATGTTCCAATGTTCCTGTAAATTTAAATAAATAATACTTAGTAAAATATATGATAAGTTACGAATTTAAAGAAATAATACCTGCATGGTTTCTTTTCTTGTAGTACCACTGTTGAATAGAAGCTCGAAAAAACTGCATTAACATAGTAATGGGTAATTTCCGGGAATGACGACTTAGAGCGTTGATTAATTCTGCACTATTAGACGTCATGAAACCATATCTTGCTCCAAGTTGATGTACTCTTGACCATCTTTCAAACCCGACATCTTCTAGTGTTTGAGCACAATGAGGCAAAACACGTCTTAAACAATTTATATGCTTATTAAAA